TTCTGGCATTGTTACCAGTGTCAGTTAAGCAGGTTTAATTGACGAAGTACTCCAGCTGCCAGGGGTGTGTCACAGGGAATATTTTTTGAAGTACAGACAAGGCTTATAGGTGGAATTCATCTTGGTGAAGAGGACCTGCACAAAGCCGTACATACCACTGAAACCACCCAATAAAGCAGTGGTTCTCAACTAGCGGTCCGGGGCCCACTGGGGGGCTGTGAGCAAGTTTCAGGTGGTCCTCCAAGCAGGGCCAGCATTAGACTCACTGGGGCCCAGGGCAGAAAGCCAAAGCCCCACCACATGGGGCTGAAGCCCAGGGCCCTGAGCCTTGCCACCCGGGGCTGAAGCCAAAGCCCAAGCCCAAACAACGTAGCTTCGCGGGGGCACTGTGGCATGGGGCCCAAGCAATTGCCCTGCTTGCTACCCCATAATGCCGGCCCTGGCTTTTATATGCAGAAAACCAGTTGTTGTGGCACAGGTGGGACATGGATTTTTTATATCATAGTGGGGGGGCCTTAGAAAGAAAAAGGTTGAGAACCCTTGCAATAAAGGCTTAAGTAGAGCTTAAATGACTCAAAGGACCATAGGTTCAGAGACAAAGGAGATAGGAATGGTATAAAATCATGGAGTAGATAGAGAGAGTTCTGTGCATCAGTGAATGTCACCTGAGATAGCTTGGGAAGCTGGAATCTAGATGCAACTTCAATGCTGGAAATGGGGGTAGGAACAGTGAGGGTAGGAACTAAACAGTGACCTGGAACGGTGTGTGAAGTGAAAACCTTTCAAACTCTTGTTAACAACACTGCTTTGAAGAATGCCTTTGAATTATGAAAGGAACAGTTTGTTCAGTTTACAGCACCTCAAAGATATAAGCAAGTCCACAGCACACCCAGTTAAGTCAAGTCCAAACAGACTTCCTTTCTCAAACAGGAATAAAATTCCATTCTCCGGTCATTAGAAAAGGGAGTCATTTTGTGCAGCCATCGGGAGGCTATTGGTGACACCTGAACTTCCCATCAAGTTTTTTTTCAGCTGAAAGCTCTCCCTCATGTGAATGTTTTGGAAAGTGAAAAGAGGGCTGCTATGAATTTAGCATTCATGAAAACCTCAGCAACTGAGGTCCTGAATTTTGCCACAGAGCAGGTACAGCACAGGATTTGGCAGTGTAAGCTTCCCCACGCTGCTCCTCAACTCTGAGCAACTAAGGAAGAGAGGGTGGTTCATTTTCCATGTCCACTCAATCCTTGGCCTCTCTGCTGCTGACACTGCCAAAAATGGTGCTAATTATTGCCAATAGGGAGCAACAAGCTAGAGGTAAAAGACTGTACATATATCCACTGTAAATCCCCAGAACCACGGAACACAATTATTAGAAAACAATGCTGTCCTTCCTCTCAGTCTGAATTCAGATATAAACTCCACTACAGTAAAGCCTCTTCATTTCTTTTTTCAAAACCACTTACATCTATCAGCTTTTCTATGGCACTTATCACCATAGTATATGAGCACCTGGCAAACATTAGTGAATTAAGCCTCGCAGCAACCACGTGAGATAGGGAAGAATTATTATCCCATTTTTACGGCTTTGGAAATTGAGTCACAGAGATTGTGTGTTTTAGATACTCATATAATGAATTCATGGTAGAGACTAGAACCCAGAAATCCTGATCCCCCCAGTCTATGCTTTAACCACAAGACCATCCTTATTTTCTGTAGTTTTCTGAATCTTATCTTCTTATCAGAGACTGTCCTTGATTCTGAGTTTGTGTTACTGATTCTTTGTGTTCTCCAGAAAGTCATGGTTGTCAGTAACTTGGCATTCTGTGGAGACACTTCCATTAAGTTGAGTCATTTCTGGTACTCCCTGTACATTAGGACAGCATAGCTTTGTTTCTAAATGACTCTCCTCCCCAGGGTCTTTATGTCAACAGCTCTACCTAGTTATGTGCCTTGAACAAAACAAAAATTACTTCCTGACATCTGCCCAAAAGCTTTTTTCTCCCTCTTTCCTCCCACGTACCTTGCAGCCACCTGCCTTAACATTTGAGCATGTGCAATTTCAGATTATTAAAAAACAAAAACAAAAAAAGCCTTGGGGTAAATGCCAGAGAGAAAAGACATGTGTGATCCAGAACTGGATTTTTAAAAAAAAAAACACAACAAAAACCAGGTCAGATAACAGTTTATCAAAATCAATGCCAAAATAAAATTATCCCATTACAGTAGGTGCTGCTCACGCCTCCCTTTGAGCCAGTGGTGTGATTCCCAGCTCAAGGAAACATACCAACACGAGCTCGAATAAAGCTAGCCTACTAAAGTAATGAAGTGTAGCCAAGGTGGTGCAAGTGGTGGGAGGGGCTAGCCAACATGCGTACATGTCCATCGGAGACACTAGGTACATATTGGGGGCAGCAAGCTTGTGAAGCTGTGGCTACATTTTTTCTTTGGCCCACAAGCTCTAGGAGAGCTAGCCTGAATAGGTTTCCTTGAGCGGGGAATCACATCCCTAGCTCAAAGCGTAGACATACTCACAGTACTTGATTTCCATTATAGCCTGCCATTTTCTCATAGTCACGCTTTCTGAAATATTTTAGCTCTAATACTTGACCATGGTTGGTCTGTGCTCACTGGGAAATTTGTTTTGGGAAAAATCACCCTCCCGCCCCTCCCCCCCCCAAAAAAAGATTGTAATTGTTTCAGTGGAAAACCACAGAGAGCAAAACCCGCACAAAATGTTGCCTTAACATCAAGGACAAGAGAACATTGAATCCGAGGGAGGGAGGGGGAGAAATGGATCCAGCAATTTTAGTTTGTCTTCCTTTATCTAATCTATTGAGGGTTTTATACTGCTGCTCATTGCTGTAGTATCTGAGCACCTTCTATGTAAAAATCAACAGCCATAGCAAAGTCCCTAATGGACCTCATGGAATCTCTGGTTCTTCTCCCTTTCGGGGGTATGAAACCTCTGTTTGGAGCATGGTTATGGTTTTGTGATTTGTTAGTTATTTTGAGGGGTGGTTTTTGTTTATTTTGATTGGGGGCGAAGAAGGCAAGTAGAAGAGTGTGTTGACAGTGAGTGTCATTGGGCTTTGTCAAAGAGAAGGTTTTGCAGTGTTTCCTAAAGATGACCAGCCTTTGGATTGGCCTAATCTTCTCTGGAAGTTTGTGCCATAACCTATTCTCAGTTTGGTTGCATTCATCCATATTATGCTATTTTCTAATCTTTCATTTTTTTTCAAGATAATGCTTCTTCTTGTACTAAAGTTTTGGGCATTGTATTCTATTCCTGGATCCATAAGAATCACCAAGGGAATAGTGAGAGATTGCAGTACTACGACTCCCTTCTGCTTCCCAGCTCATTTCCCTTTGCCACTAATGCATGCCTAACTAAATATAACCCCTTATTAGGGTTGAGATACTGAGCTACATTCTGCCTGTAAATTAGATGCACACAGAGCCCACAGTAATACCAACTGAGAGCCAGTGCTGTGTGTTAGGGTGTGACAGAAACACATGAAAGCCAGGAATATCAAGTCCATCATCTCCCATTGCACACTCCCTTCTCATCACAAGGGCAGTACAATTTAAGGAAGGTTGAGACCAAATTCTACCTTGACATAAATCACCTGCAATCCTCCTGATGTCATCTTTAACTTTGGATTTCCTGCTTTTATACCAGTCTGTGTCACATCATTAATCATAGCTCAGTGGGTTTTATTCCCCTCAGTCTTTTTGAAAGATTCTACAAGGTGTATTTATTGGCGTAAGAGCAAATGTACTTCAGGTTTTCTGTCAAGTGTGTAACATTACCTGTCTCCATGACAGTAAGAGCTTGAGTGATTTCCCAGTTGTGACTATGCCAATGGCTCTGTCATTTTTTAAAGGGATCAAGGGGCAGAGTCACCTAATGAGAGAGCAACTTTGTGCTCCTCAGCCAAAAGCCAGTTTACCTGGTTAGAGGAACACCACCCACCACTGAAGGCTCCTTGGGTGGTGCAGAGAAACCATAAGGGCTCCAGACCATCCTCCTCCTCCCTGCAGCTGGTGCTGGGAAGGGGGCTGGGGGAGTCCTTACACCCTGGCATACCAGAGGGTGTACATGCAGCGGGGCCACTGGAAGCCATTGAGGCTGCTCTAATCTGAGTGTGGTTTGAGCCTGGCACAGAGCAACCCCAGGGTAAAGGGAGAGAGTAGGTGTCTTTAAGGCATCTTTGCACACTTAACCTCTAAACTGTGTTGAGCACACTTCTGGCAGAGCCATGAATTGGGACACATGTTTAGAAGATACATGTAATACGTGATTTGTGAACAGTTACAGCCCCACCATTCAGCATCCCTCAATTCTCTCTGAGTTCAGGGTGTTCAGTACCTCACAGAACTGACCCCTAAGTGGCTAATTGTTGAATTTTCAATGGATCAGAGAGCTCTAACAAGCTGGTGGATGCCCTGATTTTGTGCATCTCCTGTTTCTGCAATTAGTTCTATGGGACGGGGTTCTTGGCAGGGGACAGGGAAGGGGTCTTTTGCTTTTGGTGAAAGGTCAGAGGATGTTAATGATTAGACTATGTTCCTGCACTAAATTTTCACAAGCTTCTGTTGTGGCAAGCAGTCCTTTTTCAAAGGCAAAATTTAATGCCTAGAAAAACAAGATCTACCCACTGCTAGCCACATGTTTTCCCCTTCAGGATTTGTTATTATCTTAACACTTTTAATGACATGTGATTATCATAGGATATTATCCTGGGTAGTTTGTTTTCCCACACTTTACAATACACAATGAGGCAGAAAGTAATCTGGAGGGAAGAAACAACCATCTCTAAAACTGTTCTCTGCACTGTACATGGGATAAACATGCCAATTTTACTTTACCCAGTACACACTGCCCAGCGAAAAAGGCGGAGATATTCTGTAGGTCAATAAACAAACAGGAAGAGGAATAAATAGATATTTGGTTTTGCTCAAGTAAAGCCTGGTCTCTTCTAATGATAGAGCTGACTGACCTGGCAGGACAAGGGTCCAAGTTGCACTCCTGAAGTTTTGGCTTTGGCTTAATATTTTCAGGGTAGTAGTGACAGTATTGATCAGCCACCACCCGGCTGCTTCTCAGATCATAACACTCAGCAGATGTCAGCTGGTAACCTGTGACATTCAAAGAGTCAAAAAACAGAGCATCTGAGCTCAATTTCTTTCTCTGTATATGTATTAAATACAAGTAAACCCTGGTTTTGTACAACATTATCCAAAATGACAGTCCCCATCAATGTAACAAAAGGCTTACCCCAGATTTAACAAACTTATTTTACAAAAAGATTAGGTGTCTCCCCAAACCTTCATAAAACAGATTTGCCCCCATACATTACCCATTAAATCTATTAAATATAGATAGGATCAATGTATATAAATAGATCTATAAACACACACACATACTTTAACTCTCAAAAATGCCTACACTACTGAAATTACTTCTTAACTTTTATTTATTTATTTTACTTTAGAGCCACAGGAGCAATATAATTCAGTTAGCACTGCAAAGGTAAGTAGTCATGCTTCACAGTTCATATTATTGTATTATAAAAGCATATACATTAAAGATTAAAGAGCTGATTCGGCTCTTAAATGCACTATTATTTGTAGAGCCCTGCGCGGATACAAATTTATACCCGCGGATGCAGATATCCGTGGATATAAATCGGTATCCACAGAACTGCAGGGCTCTCCCGGGCACCACAGCACTGAAAGGAGCAGAACATGGGGCTGCCGCTCCCAGGAGCCCAAGGTCCCGCTGTGCGTTTGTGGCAGAGTCAGGCATGGAACCCAGATCCCTTGAGTAACAGTCAAATACCTTAGCCACAAGACAATATTTCCTGTTAATGGTGTTATGCTGGTGTAAAATTTATTTCATTTGTGCTGGTGTAAAAACAGTATAAGTGAGATCTGCATTAAGGCAAGAAAGCCCAGTTTTCAAAAGCTATGCCTAAACTGCATGTGCAAATGGACATTTAAAGGATAACGGTGCACCTCAGTGGCCATTTAACTCATAGCCTTTAAGGTCAGATAGGAGCATCATGATCATCTAGTCTCACCTCCTGCAAATTGCAGGCCACAGAACCTCGCCCACCCACTCCTGTAATAGACCCCTAACCTCTGGCTGAGTTACTGAAGTCCTCAAACGATGATTTAAAGACTTGAAATTACAGAGAATCCACCATTTACACTAGTTTAAATCTTCCAGTGACCTGTGCCTCATGCTGCAGAGGAAGGTGAAAAACCCCAGGGTCTCTGCCAATCTGACCCAGGGGAAAATTCCTTCCCAACCCCAAATATGGCGATCAGTTAAACCTTGACCACATGGGCAAGTAGTAACTCGGAGCCCTCCCATCTAGTGTCCCATCACCAGCCACTGGAGATATTTACATGATCAATAGTAGATATGCAGTTTTAGTTAGTAAACTATCCTGCGTCATTCCTTGCATTTCAGTCTGCACTCTAACCTTCTCCTCTTTTGTAATTGTAATGCTGCCAGACTCACTTCATGATCATGTAATTTTGTTTTATTTTCAACTTAAAAAAATAGTTCAAAAAATAAGAAAGAAGGAGAAACCTACCATGCAAGTGTTGAAACGCATGCAGCACCTAAATGTATGTATTGTAAACAATAATTTTTATGACATTATTTAAAGCTACTATGAATGTGCAGGACAGAACTTTGAAGGCTCACTACTTCACATGTGTAGCTATTATTTAAAATATGAAGGCAGTCAAGACTGTATTCTTAGTTTCATTTTAATAAATTTTACACGGACCAAAGATTTACCAATACAGTATTTAATAAACTGCAGCAGAGGTGTGACTAAGTAACAAACAGATCCAAAATGCACTGATGTCAAAGACAGTCTTTCAGTGGGTTTGGATCAGGGGTAAAATTTTCAGAAATACCTATGTGACTTGGGACCCTAAATCCCATTTACAAAAGTGATGTAGGTACTTCGAAAATGGGACTCCTAAGTGCCGAAGTCACTTTTGAAAATGGGACTTCGATGCTTTTGAAATTTTTACTTCAGACCCTAACAACCCAATAAGTAACACTGTATGTGGCCAGCACTGTACTGGTACTTCAGGGAATTTGCATATTTTCTTTTCACTGAGTTCCTTTTGATTTGACTACATATCTAATTATCTTATATATTCATTGAATTGTGTTATCTATTGTTGTAATTAACCCATATGTAATCAATGTGTGATGAATAGATTAAATTTGTAGGTATGAGTATAGGAATATGTAGAGGTATTATAGAGGTATAGGATTGATAAGGATGTATTATTGGTAAGAGTTTGTTAGGTATATAAGTAATATAAGGCAGTAAAGCAAGACCTACAGGCCTGAGGCCTGCCAAATTTCAGCTTAGCCATATCAGGCTTTAGGTCTGAAAGAAGTTGACACAACTAGCTGACCCCAGGGCAACCTTGTAACAATAAAGTTTCAAGATTATTGTAACAGATGTGATAATGGGTGATGGGAAAATATGCCACAATATGCCCATCACTATCGCAAGATGCCCAGTTGTAACATGATGAGAAATTCTGCATTGACTGCAAGTTACAATGGGGACTTGTTGATTTAAATGTTAATGAAGATAAGGAGAATTAAGAAGATGGCCTCTGCAAAGTGGGGCATCCCAACATTTATTAATAAGGGTTACGAGCGTGAGTGTAACTCAGGATAAAAGGGGTTCCCTGGCATGAATAAGGGAAGACGAACCCATCAAGAGACCCACCTGTTGAGAGATCCACCCATTTCTATGGTGCCCTTGGGGATGTGAATATGTAAACATTAATAATAGACTAGGACTTTAAGGTCAGAAGGGACCATTATGATCTTCTAGTCTGATCTCCTGCACAACGCAGGCCACAGAAACTCACCCACCCACCCCTGTAACAAATCCCTGACCTATGTCTGAGCTATTGAAGTCCTCAACTTGTGCTTTAAAGACTTCAAGGTGCAGAGAATCCTTCAGCAAGTGACCCATGCCCCCTGCTGCAGAGGAAGGTGAAAAACCCCCAGGGCCTCTGCCAATCTGCCCTGGAGGAAAATTCCTTCCTGACCCCAAATATGGCGATCAGCTAAACCCTGAGCATATGGGCAAGACTCACCAGCCAGACACCCAAGAAAGAATTCTCTGTAGTAACTCATATTCCACCTTATCTAGTATCCCATCACAGGCCATTGGGCATATTTACCGCTAATAGTCAAAGATCAATTAATTGCCAGAAGTAGGCTATCCCATCATACAATCCCCTCCATAAACTTATCAAGCTTAGTCTTGAAGCCAGATATGTCTTTTGCCTCCACTGCTCCCCTTGGAAGGCTGTTCCAGAACGTCACTCCTCTGATGGTTAGAAACCTTTGTCTAATTTCAAGTCTAAACTTCCTGATGGCCAGTTTATATCCATTTGTTCTTGTGTCCACATTGGTACTGAGCTTAAATAATTCCTCTCCTTCCCTGGTATTTATCCCTCTGATATATTTATAGAGAGCAATCAGATCTCCCCTCAGCCTTCTTTTGGTTAGGCTAAACAAGCCAAGCTCTTTGAGTCTCCTTTCATAAGACAGGTTTTCCATTCCTTGGATCATCCTAGTAGCCCTTCTCTGTACCTGTTCGAGTTTGAATTCATCCTTCTTAAATATGGGAGACCATCAGAACGGACATGTTATGGTTGCTCTCCATCTTGATTAACGTACATATAACTGGCATTAGCATTGATTATTGGCATAAGAAGATTTGCAATAAAGGGACAACTGATAACTTGTGCATGTTGATGAGGTCATTGATACTGTTCTTCATGTGCTCCTAGAGTCCCCCAACCCAATGATGTTCCTCATGGTGAGTCTCACCTTGCTCATTCTGATAATGTAGCCATTAGGGAATGTGAACCTTTGGCACCTGTCACTGTGGTTTAAGATATCACTGGCAATACCAACCTATCAATATTATAAAAGGCTACAACTATATATCCTTTAAAATAAAATTCCAAGAATTTCCAAAATTGCAATGGAAACTTCTTTGTCTACTGCACTTAAGTATGGTTAAAGGTAATAAAATAGAGCAAGATCAAGGGAAAAAACCCACATAGGGCCAGGAACTTCCCTCACCTCTCACCCAGGCAGGAGAAGATCTGTGTATAGAGGTACTGCACCGGGGCCCAATGCCAATATCATACACCATGGGACCTGATTGTGGACTCACTCTCCAAGTATCTAAGTTGCAGGTTACTGTCCATCTTTTCATTCTGGATGAACCTTTCCCCTGCCCTCCTTTGCCTCATCCATCCTCCTCATTTCTTTTATAGCAGCAGCAGCAGTTGGGGTGACACCCTCTCCTTTGTGGAATTCTTGTCCTCCCTAGAAAAGGGGCTGTCATCAAAGCTGTTTGACAGATTGGCCAGCGAGGATTTATACCTTTTGGTATCTAATTATAAACAGTTGTGACAATGAACTTTGTAAATTAGTTTTGCACGAATGCAGTGTAGAAAACTATGAGAAGAACACGAAAGCAGTAAAGCTGAAAGATTTCCAATCTGATGTCACTACATGTATTACTGGGGTCATGAGCAACATATTGCTCATGACATTGCTACATAGTATCACATGTGTTGACAAGACTGCTTGTCTTACAGTTTTTGTTTTCATTGTTGGTCTTCAAATTGGGAAAAGACTGGACCAGGCACGAGCAGGTTACTGGGAACTCCTTGAATTAAAGCCCTGAGGCTTAATATCAAGCTATATAACTGATCACGTGTGCCCTGATTAAGGGAATCAACATAGAATAGTCTAACTTCCCCAGATCCCTGGCCCAGGATGCACTAGGCAAAAGCCTGGAATGATTCTGTTGACGGCCTCTTCTTCAGTTGATCCAGAGTCAGGAATCTGGAGAGCATTTTATCAGGAACATGGATTTTTCTGCCTTCATCAGGAGGGTTAGAAGGCAAAGGAAAGTCAGTTACCAAACACTGTCAAATACAAACTCAAGAGCCCAAAAGAAGAAAGATAAACTAAGGCCTGGTCTACACTAACACCCCAATTCGATCTAAGGTACGCAACTTCAGCTACGTGAATAACGTAGCTGAAGTCGACATACCTTAGTTCGAATTTACCGCGGTTCAGACGTGGTCCACACGCGGCAGGCAGGCTCCCCCGTCGACTCCGCGGTACTCCTCTCGCTGAGGTGGAGTACCGCAGTCGACGGCGAGCACTTCCTGGTTCGAATTATCGCGTCCAGACCAGACGCGATAAATCGAACCCGGAAGTTCGATTGCCAGCCGTCGAACTACCGCGGTAGTGTAGACATACCCTAATTGTGACGATTGCTTGCATACAAAGGCCCATATCCTCAGCTCCGGCTGAGGCGTGCATAGTACAGCTCTGGAAGGGGACAGTAAAGAAGACCTTTGCACTCCCAAGATTCTGGGCCTGCTGAACGGCACACTGGTCCCAGGAGTAACAGCTCTAAAGGGCCCAACAGAGCAGCCACAGATCAGCATGAAAAGGAAGTCCCTGGCTATGCTCCATTTTCCTTAGTCACATCCCTAGGCCATTAGCAAGGGAAGAGTGGAGATGTTAACTAATATAGAATATGTATTATGCGCACCATATATGTATGTATGTATGCATTGAGCATCAATAACATTAAGCACAAATACTGTAACAGTGATATAACCTAAACTGACTTATACCATAATCCTGTTCACTTATGCTAAATATCTCATAACTCCTTGCATTTACTGAAGTGAGCATTTGGCATAAGCAGACAGGAAACTTGTCAAAAATCAAGATACATCATTGTGACTTAGTACAAGCTAGAGAAGTACCTTCACAGACAAGTACCTGGGATGCTAGTTGTGACACTGGCAGACCAGGTGCCAACTCATGCCAAGGCCCCAGGCCTCACTGAACAGTGACAAATGCATAGCTGGAAACTAGTCTGACTCACCTGCATGTTAGCATTTTTAAAAATAGATGTTAAGTTTATAAGAACGTGTTTAGACTTTAGGAAATATTTGTAAATTGCTGCATGCGTTAATCTCAAGCAATTAAAAAAATTAATCACGTTGTTAAACAATAATAGAATATCATTTATTTAAATATTTTGGATGTTTTCTACATTTTCAAATTGATTTCAATTACAACACAGAATACAAAGTGTACAGTGCTCACTTTATATTTATCTTTGATAACAAATATTTGCACTGTAAAAAAATGGTATTTTTCAATTCACCTAATACACGTACTATAGTGCAATCTCTTTCTCATGAAAGTTGAACTTACAAATGTAGATTTATGTATGAAAAAAACTGCACTCAAAATAAAACAATGTGAAACTTTAGATTCATAGATTCATAGATTCTAGGACTGGAAGGGACCTCGAGAGGTCATCGAGTCCAGTCCCCTGCCCGCATGGCAGGACCAAATACTGTCTAGACCATCCCTGATAGACATTTATCTAACCTACTCTTAAATATCTCCAGAGATGGAGATTCCACAACCTCCTTAGGCAATTTATTCCAGTGTTTAACCACCCTGACAGTTAGGAACTTTTTCCTAATGTCCAACCTAGACCTCCCTTGCTGCAGTTTAAGCCCATTGCTTCTTGTTCTATCCTCAGAGGCTAAGGTGAACAAGTTTTCTCCCTCCTCCTTATGACACCCTTTTAGATACCTGAAAACTGCTATCATGTCCCCTCTCAGTCTTCTCTTTTCCTAGAGCCTACAAGTCCACTCAGTCCTACTTCTTGTTCAGCCAATCGCTGAGACAAACAAGTTTGTTTACATTTACAGGAGATAATGCTGCCAGTTTCTTATTTACAATGTCACCTGAAAGTCAAAACAGGCGTTCGCATGGCACTTTTGTAGCCGGCATTGCAAGGTATTTAAGTGCCAGATATGCTAAACATTTGTATTCCCCTTCATGCTTCGGCTACCATTCCAGTGGACATGCTTCCATAATGATGATGCTCAATAAAAATAATAATGCTGTAATTAAATTTGTGACTGAGCAACTTGGGGGACAATTGTATGTCTCATGCTCTGTTTTACCCACATTCTGCCATATAGTTCATGTTATAGCAGTCTCGGATGATGACCCAGCACATGTTGTTCATTTTAAGAACACTTTCACTGCAGATTTGGCAAAAGGCAAAGAAGATACCAATGTGAGATTTCTAAAGATGGCTCCAGCACTTGACCCAAGGTTTAAGAATCTGAAGAGCCTTCTAAAATGTGAGAGGGGGGTGAAGTGTGGAGCATGCTTTCAGAAGTCTTGAAAGAGCAACACTCCGATGTGGAAACCACAGAACCCAAACCTCCAAAAAAAAAAAAAAAAAAA